CCTATTTTCGCTTATTGACTCGACGCGCGTTTTCTTTTTTTCCTAAAACAGGTTCATGACGTCAAGTCCAAGCGCGTTTGACCACGATCGAATAAACACAGGCGGGCCCTGGGATAATCGATACTGATGAAACAGCTGAAAAAAACTGGTTCATCCAACCGATCAATCAAAGGGAAAACTTGTTGTATCCAATAATAATTCATGTTTTTTTACGATTACTGTGACGTAGTAGAATGATAGAATGAAGTTTCCTAGACCCGAATCCGTAGGGTAGAATAATTTTGGAGTTTTCAGGCGTTTTACAACTATTTTGCCCGGCAATGGCAGCAAGAAGATAGGGCGATTTGGCCTAAGGAGATACTGATTTTTGAGGTTTGGGAATGGGTCTTTTGATTGGTAATTTGATTGGTAAGTAGGTAGTAATGAGGTCCGAATCGGGAGATTTTTGAAGGTGAAAAATGACGACTTTGACCTATTATGGAATGAAAAAGTTAGGTTTATTATTTTATTTTTTTATGTTTTACGTAGTTTGGTAAAGTAAATCAATTTCTGTGATACAGAAGGGCTTGACGTTGGGTGTCACGGATCTAGGGGTCAAACCATGTCAAACTTGGTTATAAGTACAGGTAACCTAAAAAAAATACTAATACTCTCTCTCTCTCCCGTACCCTCTCACTTTCTCACTTGCTCTAGCTCCCTCTCTCATTCTCTGTCACACTCTTTTATCTCACTATCTTTCTTTTTCTTTCTCTTTCTCTATTTAACTTTTCTTCTCAATTTCTTTACGTCCCTCTCCCTTTTTCTATCTCCTTCTCACTCTCTATCTGTCTATCTCTCTATCTCCCCCTTACATCTCACTAGCTCCCTTTTATTTTTCCTCTCTTCTTTTTTAATTCAGCACAATTATGTGATTGTAAAACATGATATGCACTCTCCTCCCTCGCCCTCTCTTTCTTTCTGAAGTTGCTTCTCGTCTCATTCTCTATCAGCCTCTTTTATCACTACCCCGTCTCTCTCTCTCTCTCTCTCTCTCTCTCTCTCTCTCTCTCTCTCTCTCTCACACACACACACACACACACACACACACACTCCAACTTGTACAGTAGTAAGTTAAAACCCGGTTAGATATAGTTTTTTTTTACACAAATTGCATATTTTATTGATATTGAAGGACTAAAGGCAGACAAATGTTTAAAAAGTTAAAACAACCGATTAATTGCAAGCTTTTATTGTAATCTTTTGAAATAAAACAAACGAAATTTAGAAAAAATTTTGTAGAGAAATGTTCATAAAAATGTATTGTTTTTATATTTTTGATATGTTTTGATATGGACGGCCCCAAAACAAAAGTACTAATGGCAATTTTGACAACCGCGAACCCGTTCTCATGCGGTCGAGTCACGATTGATTTTTCAATGTTGCTCTCGGCTTTTATTAAAAATTGACTCGATATCGATTCAATGCAACAGGCTGGAAGCTTTCAGCGAAACCCTTCCTATGGGGAAAACAGAAACGGTCAGAATATCCGAAAAAGAAGAAAACCAGACTTTAAATGTACGTAAGAAGCTAAAGTTTGTGCTTTCGCTATTCGGAAACAGTTCCAGTTCATTCAAAGAAGGAACCTTAAACAGAAAAATTTACTTACTTTATTGTATAATTTTATTTTCAACAATGTTCGTAAAATGGCGTATTATCAGAACACAACTATCACATTGAACGCGTTAATACTTTTCCAGGCTGATTTAAAACTACACTTTTCTTCGTGCTAGTTATTTTAAACAACTTAACATATAACAGTCTGTTTTTGATACCACGCTTTTATTGACAATTATCCCATCTTTTTCGCAAGAAACACTTTATAAAATAAAAAAAAATATTTTGTTTTTTTTGTTCAAAATTTGTTTAACATTGACATAAACGCAGAGATTAAAAAACGATTGTTTCGAGTTCGTCAAGATCAGATTACTCCGAATAATTGCTATCTGGGAATGGGAGTGCCACAAGGCAGTGTACTCGGACCAGTCGTGTACCTCTTCATCTCAGATATCACGAGTACACCCACCGATGACATAGCTCTGCCCTCTCTGGTCCCAATGTCCAGTCACACGTGTGGCTTTTATCCTCCGAAACAAACGCATAAAACAATATTCAATGAAATTGACTGTGTACACTACGTTGGGTTTTATTTCATATCTAACCTGGATCAAACACGCACGGAAAAAAGGACAAGAATTAACTAGGCGTTCGGACGACTATACAAATTATAATCAAGAGCACACCTCATATCTTTGAAAAACAAAGTAACACTACAATACAATACTGAAACCAGTTTGGACGGTTTAGGATTATGGGGCACCGCTAACCTTTCGAAATCCAAAGAATACAGTCTTTCGAACCCAAAGTCCTCAGCATAACTGTCAACTTTGTAAATTTTTTGTAGTCGTCGAAAATTATACTCACTTGTGAACCCACTATCCTGATCCATGTCTACTACAACCTAGGAGGGATCTCCTAGCGAAATGTGTGTAACCATTTATCGAAGATAAAAATGTGGGAGTAATCCTTACAAAGTTTGAAAGAAAAAATCTACTGTTTTGGCCATAATCAATTCCAAATTAATTTGTGAGATTAGAGTCGAAGTGAAAGAATAATTTATCCAAATATAAAAGAGCCATACAGTTCGGGTTGCAAGTGACAAGGCTACTACAATGTAATCGTTGAAAAACGGATATTTCTTATTTCAGCCCAGTTTAGGATTATTGTGAGTACAAGGGAGAAAAAACAATGAAATTTAAAAAAATCCAAACGTTTTATTCTTTATTTCAGGTTATTTATTCGCGGAAACCAATTTTCTGCTATAACGTGTGATTTCTAAAATACTCTAAAGTTTCCTATGGATCGATTGAATCGTTTGAGATATCCAGTTTCCAAACCATTTTTCTGGCTTAAGATAAAATTTTGAATACATTCGAAGACCTTTGGTAGGCGAAAAAAAATTTGGTAAAAATTGGTCAGGTTTTATTTGAGGGGAGTAGAGAATACGACTATCAATCTTATTTCTTGATTAAGATATGGATTTGATTTCAATCAAGAGATTCTTAAGAATCTTTTAATTTGCCCTGTTACATTATTAGGATAAACAATTTGAATTTGTATTGTAGTTTTTGATTTTGGTACTAAAACTGTGACAATTTAGCGTAGAAGAATAACTTATTTGCCATATAGGGCAAAGGGTAACAGTGTTTTCATTTATGTTTTCCTTTTTAATCAACTCAATACTAATATTATGTAATATTTTATGATAATGCATTTTTTCCAATAATTTTTATACTTCTCTAATCACGTATGTAATAACTAAGAACTTATCCTATCTGGAAACGGTGTGTTCCCTATGTACAGGTTATAAACAAATAAATAAAAAATTATCAAAGTTGGTAAAGCAGCAGTATTAAATGTAAAAATTGTATAACCACTCATAACAGAATGAAAATATTTACAGATTAAAAAAAAAAATTCTATGTAAAAGATCTCTTAAAAGGATTGGTGATTTTTCCGACCAACTTTGGTCTCAAGAAACCAAATAATTTTTAATTGATTCTGTTGAAAATAAATTAAAAACAAGGGCCAAGATTGACCTCATTCTTTTATGAATGGAAAATACTAAAAACAAAATTATTCAAGCTTATTTTTTCATCACGACTAAAAGAATACCGTCAAATATGGTCCGTTCTTTCATAAAATCGGCACTAATAAATATATATAATAATATATAGTTAGAAGGTTTGGATGNTATAGTATAATATAATTATATAATATATAATATATAGTCAAATCTGAAAATTAAACTAGTGATTTTTATGTTGCAGTGTTTACAACCCTTTTAATTAAGAAAGGATCGTTTTTACCTATACAAGACCTAAATATATATGTATATACCTAAATACATGTATATACCTAAATATATATGTATATACCTAAATACATGTATATACCTAAATATATATGTAGGTATATAATATAAAAACGAAATAAGCTTAATTTAAGAGATATCAAATTGTATTGATCTTTTCAGAACGTTATGACTTATGACCTTTGTTTGTTTTGAAAGCAGCAAATTTGTATATTCTAAATTGTACCTAACTCGAGTAAGACGTTTAGTCATTAATAGCTATGAAATAGTTTTGAAACTTTTCACTATTTTGTCTTGTTTATTTTTGAAAATTAATTGTCATATTGTGCATGACACATTCTCCCAGATACGTGATAGGAGACAGGTTGTCCCGAAATATATACACACAAAAACCGAAACCATGTTGTTTGGTATTCCAAAAAAAACAAAAAACAAATAAAAAACGGCTAATTCGGAAATAATAAGGAATAAAATGAGGTAAAAAGTATAAATCAAGTTCTTAAAACAGTTAAAACAAAACAGAGAATTGTATAAATTGTTCTGTTGTTCGTACTCATTGTGTACATTTTGACATATGACTTAAAGGGTCGTCCACTCAAAAAGGACTTAGAATTTTGGTACTCGGGTTCAGCGCCACGGACTCAGGACCGAATGTGAAATCGAATTTCGGCACTAATGCGTATTCGTTGGAAGGAGCGTTGGTAGATGTCGGCCATTGGATCCCAGGCAAACGTGTGGGCGCACCGTGCCCTGGCCATGGGGTTCCCGAGGGTCCGCCGATCTGGAAAACGCCGTCGAACACTTCAGTGCCCCATGCGCTAGCATATTGCAGCCGAACGGATCTAGGTCACGCCCCCCCCCCCCCCTCCGTCAATATATAACCTTATTTATAAGTTGTGTTTAGTCCTTTATCACTTATCCGAATCAATGAGAGGACGCATGAAATATGCCAATTACAAGGACGCTTCTTTCTACAATTAAACAACACCGGGATCTGAGGTTTTGAGCCGTGTTTACTTTAAAGGGTTTCGGCGGTGTCGCTTTCCGATGCTCGGTATGCCGTTGAAATAATTTTCTGGGTGGCGCTTACCTCATGATCTCGTGCTCCTTCATTTCTTCTTGTTGGTGCCTCATCATGACAGACTCTATGATGTGCCTCTCCTCGGGAGTGAGGTGGGAGAGATCGGGCCCACCTTCAGCCATGCTCTTAAGGGAGTCTAGCGGGCGCTGCAGTGTTAGCAACATGCCTGGATGGAGGCGGCGACATGGCCCTCGCCAGAGTTACATCTCCACCCGAACGCACCTCGCCGACGACTCCCGCTCCGCAGCCCGACAACTCCGCCCCATCGAAAATTACTCATTCACCAGGCACGGGGGGAATAAGGCGAGTGCCCAATCCGGCTCCTGGGGCGAGGTGACGTCACGGCTTCGTATTGATCCCCCGTCTTCCACTCAATGGGACCCGTGCGATGTCGCTGCGTCCCGAAGGAAAAACCGGCGGCGAGCCTCGACCGACACGGCGAGACCCCGCTCTCCTAGGACGAGGACCGCCCGGGCGACAGACGTTCGCGGATTTCGGAACGCATTTGCCGGCGTGATGAGGGACGGCTCACGGGAAGTACGACCTCTACTGAGTCGGACGAAGGTCTGCGCACCGGGCAGCGCGCACTCTGCCCACACGATATCTCGACACCATAAAACGCCTCCATTCACACATCCGTCCACGACCCTCTTTTCAAAAATCGGGACGGAGAAAAAATTACAAAATTCGACCCCTTTTCTCAATGCCGGGGGTGCACTCGTCGAAAATGTTTCTACCCCGTTTCCGGCTGATGCTGTCGGGCGGCGTGATCGGAGCGGAAGTTATTTGCCGTAGTAGTCAGGGCTGCCGATCAGCTGATTCCTAACCCATTCATTCCGGCCGGCCGGAGTAGGCCAATTTAAACAAGTTCGACAGTCAAATCAAAATTCAACCCTTTTTACAGCCATCACGTCTTAAAAACCATACACAAATACAATCGTCACATTTATTTGCGATGAGACAGACTTCCCTTTATATTTTCCGTTTATTTAATTATTTTAAAAATATATTAACACTTGGTTCATAACATTTTTCATTTACATTATTAAAAAATGCTTAATATTTGGACACTTATCAACAATAAAAACAACCCCATCTCAAATTATTAAATATTTGTATACAAATTACATAAGGAGAAACATTAGTATTTTCAACTTTTTTAATCAGTCATAAATCACATAAAGAAAGAATGCAGGTTTTATAAATTGTGGAAACAGCAATATTATTATTGCGGATCATCTAGGGGTTATTCATTGTAATAAAATGTTTAGTAAGGCTTGAGGGTTAATAACTAAGGCGAATATTATCTATGTTTTTCAAGTAACATTCGCTTTCATTATAATATACGGATTTAATACCTTTTTTGGAGTTTGAAACACCGTTTTGGTTGTCGAATTGAATACTAATTAAATTTGTTGTATTACGACGTTAGGTCGCCTGATTGTGAAAAGAAGGAAAGCGGGCGGACAGAATCATAACAATTGAAGAGGTAAGTGTTTACAGGGGAAACTAAACACGGATATTTTTGTTATCTTATCATTCCAAACATTGTTGTTATTGGTGACAAAACGTACGTACTTGTCCATTAGTGCCTTGATCGTGTCCGCATATCCAGTTTTTAAGGGTAGAAGAATTTTTGAGGTTGTACGGGAAATACGCTTGTCACATTTCGGTTTTGTACAAGAGAAGAGAAGAGTAGATTACTTAAGGTGAGAGAAAAAAAAACTTGCTTATAATTTGTTGTTAAACGGCTTTGGATGGTCGGAGTGGAGTTGAAACTTTTTAAATAAGTTGAGCAAGGCATGTATTGGGTACATTGGAATGGATGGGCCCACGGCTAAACTCGCGTGACCTGCGCGTCGTGCGCAACTGTATATCGAAGCGCCGTGTTCAAATTTCCTCCGTAAACTCGTACAGAGGCAAATATTTATTTACAGTGAATAAAGCACCCTATTATTACATTTCAATTGGAGTTTCGTAACAATTACACCAAGATAGATTATCAACCACCTTGAATATAGGCTCAAATGGAGAAACATTCTGCTTAAAGCCAGGACTCCACTAAGCATTGGTCAGAGATTATATAGTAAAAACTGGGGAATATACCCCAGGATGGCGTATTGGTTATAAACTACAACAGTCAGACCCCAGGTCACATATGGAGCTCTAGTATGGTGGTCAAAAACACTAAACAAGTCTGTCTCCTTGAACTAGCTACATAGTTCTCAAAGATTAGTGTTTCTTAATATAAAAGGTGAAATACATACATCCTCTCTCTGAGATTCAAGGAAATAAAACTAGATCTAAGGAGCAGCCACCAAAGATTTCTGTAGAAAAATAAAATAAATAAGATAGCTATAACGGTTCCTGACAAAATCAGAGAAAAACTCAACTTTGACGACCCTTCCAACTATCATAGTTAATAGAGACCTTTGTAAGAAAGATAAACTCAAGTTTCAGGAAAGGGCCCTAACATGGTGAACAAATGAATCGAAGGTGGAGCATGGAGAGGAGAAAAGGTAAAAGGGCAGAACTAAACTCTAGGCAAAGCCCCTCGAACACATCTCAACATCTTCCATGCTGAAGTCTTTGCTTTACAATATAATTTTGAAGACGGCGGAAAATTGTTTCATGCTTAGTTTCTAATATTTGAAAATTGAGTTTTGAACCCTCCGCCATGGCGATTCAAACTGAAGACGGTTGGAAAAAAGGAAGTTAAACTTATAAAGAGATGAACTTTACGGCAAGAAGCTCAAATAAATTTTGGAACGGTTATGTACATTATTTGAATATTGAATATATTCAATTATTATTTGTTATTATATCATTATTTGAATATATTTGAATTATTTGGCAGTATGAAAAAACGAGAGTTAATAAAACTAAATGACAAAACTTCTTGAACACTTAGTTGAAGAAATAAAAACATAAAGGCAATATAACTTTTGAGAAAATTAAATTAACATTTAAATTTTTTGATCTTCGCGTAATGTAAACAATTGAGCAGAAGGCTACTTTTATTGTATTAATCCTTTATGGATAAACCGAACGTGTTCTTACCTATCGACGGTATTTTACAGTATGTGAAAATTTGCTTAAAAAATAATAAAAGGATAATTTACAGGGATTCCGAGATTGAACTTTTAAATAAAAAGGTGAAGTTAGAGAGATTAAGTGGACTGAATAATTGAAATAAACGATGGCCGGCCCGGAGTCCCAATGTTATGGCCTGAAGAAGATTTCTGCCGTAAAGGCGGTTGAAAATAGGAACAAGATAATTTTTCAGACTTACCTTTTCTCCTTTATTGAGGAATCCAGACTTCGTTCTGCCTCTCTCCCAGGCCTGAATGGCTCGCCGTGAGCCCTCTGCTTCTGGAAACAGATTCATGGGTCTTAATTAGTTTTAACAAAATGGAAACGGCTGGAAATGGAGAGACGTACGTGTTTTAGTGAATATCGTCGCGAACAAGTAGAAATAAAACATGGAAAAGTAACGTGAAATGGAGTAAAACATAGTGCCGCGGACGTGAACAGAGACAAGCTGACTAAAATCATAAACCTAACTTACCGTGTAACTTGCAAGGCAGCAGTAAACCTCAACTGTTTGAATAATGGTCGATCGTCCAAAGTTGACGGGTTTATTCACAGTTTACTCGAATATCCCTATCTTTACTAGCATGATGATTGATGGAAACGAAGGAATATACAAAACTAAAACGCTGTTAACATTCAAAAGTAATTATCTAGATGAAAATATTAAGGCACATATAAAAACACATAAAAAGTAAATGTTTTGCTTTCCATCAACCTCTTTGTGTTTTTCTCTTCTGATTATCCATATATTAAAATATTATACAAAAAAAGTTGACATCGTTCTTATAGACAAAATCCATTTACATCTACACCCAATATTAAGCTTAAGGATTTATCAACAGAATTATTGGTACACACGTTCGAAATCGTACTTTCTTCTTTCACTCGGCGCCTGGGGTTTTTGAAGACGGTTCACACTGACTAAATGGATTTCTTTAACCACTGTTTCTCCTGATAAGTTCATTCGCTTTATTACATTAAAACGTGAGAAAGGAGAAGCCTTAAAAATCCAACCGAGGAGAAACCTCTTCGGTTCCCACCGCTATACGGCTCCACGGACAAATGACTTGGCATGAAACGTGGATTTTGGCAAATGTGCTACATCTCCTTTACTACCAGGAATATGTCACGATACAAAGGAAAAATTAAAGTTGAATATAAAAAAAGGAGTGTGCAGCAAGAACCATAGCCAAAATACGCCTGATAAACTTTAAACCGCATAGACAGACCAAAATGATCGATGCTGACAAAATTTCTTTCTTTTTAGTTTAAAAAAATGCAAAGTGTATATTTTTACTTTACTGCCACCCTACATCAACTGGACCAACTCGACCATGACATAGTCATTATCTAAACGTATCACGATTTAAACCTACTTTTGATCATTTAAAAAATTTTATGTCAATTTCTATTTTTTTCGTTTTGAAATTTATAACTATAGAATTTTCAACAAGCAAATACAATGGTGAGAGAGAAATATAATCGTCTTGTATTGACATGAGCGGAGAAGTCATTCAATAATGACACTCCTTTATAAGTAAACCTAAACATTGACTTGTCACTCGCTATCACTCAAGATGAGATCACGAGGCTATCGCCGTTTTAGTCGGGGTTGTGGACTATCAGGAAGCAAACTAGCTCTGAACAAAGTTGCGTTACTAAGGTAATGAGAGGAGTGGAATTTATTGTATTTCTATAGATTATTTTTTATAGTTAAGGGGACGTTTGGATTGTCTTCTCAAAATCGAGAGAGAAGTTTGTATCGTTTAAGTCTAGTATAGGGATCCAACGTCAGGCGTTGGTCGACATATAGTCCAAAGCAGCGAATACAGTGAGTCATGGAAAGATGAACACGGTTGAGGTATACTGGAAGTTAAAGTACTAGCATTTATATTTATTTATTTTTACCCTCCACTTCTCTGACCAAGGCTCAAGAAAGGAAGGTGACACTGAAGGAAAAGAACAGCAAAGACAGGATCATTGTGAATGGAGAGAATTCAATGTCATCTTCAATGTGAACAGGGAAGTATTGAGGTTACTTAGGGATTACAGCAGTATACATTATGTAAAGGATTGGACCAAGAACACTACCTTGGGGGACTCCTGCCTGGACAGGATCGAAGGGTGGGCGGGAAGTTGTTGAACTGTAGAGTACTGATGTCTGAAACCAAACTGATGATCAGGGATTAAATGAAAAGAATTAAGTACTGGATAAAGGCGTTGTATGAGAAGTTTTTCAAGGATCTTGGCCCTCAAGGAATTTGGCGTTTAGGAATTTGCCAAATTGTATTTGCTGTGATTAAGACAGAACCGGAAGTTACGTTACGAGGAAGTTTGGTAATAATGCATCGGATTAAAGAAATAGCAAGTTTCTACTATGTCAGAGGTGAAACTACTTTGCTTATCACACTTTCTATAAAATAACAGCAACGGATTTTTGAGCAAAGAACCTTAAGTTTGTATTTACGCTCCGCACTTCATTACGCTTGAATATGTAGGCATTTGAAGTCTGCCGAAGCACGCTGAAGTGGAAAGCTTCCAAAGCACGCATGGTTGATCTCCCTGCGACGCGTCACCCGATAGCGTTTCCATTGCTCCTTAACCAAATTAACTAATACTACATTTGCTAATAATACGCTACTTTTTCTAAATTAATTTTCTAGAAAGAAGTTGAAAAAAAAATTATCGAGTCGAAAAATCCATATTTAGTGGCGTACGCAAATAAATAATTTCTGGCGTTTTCGTAGTATTTAAGCATATTGCAAATAAAACTACAGTTGTTTAAGGGAGAGAAGTAGTTTATAAGTTGAAGGTTAAAGTTTATGAATTCGAAGGTAAGCGAAGCAGAGAAGCAGTAGACGGCCGATGGATTATTATAACCAAGTAAGACTGCATGAACAGATCAGACAAATAGGCGAAACTTTGTGCTTCAATACTTCATTTGTCTTTTCCTTGAATGATGAAAATTGGAAAAGAGCGTGTACCATAAATTTTTGGCTGTTGGTTTTGCAAATTTTGTGCCAGATCAGAAGGGCAGTTGCCATAATAAAATTTCATAAAACGACGCGTAAGAAGTTTATCTTTCTATAATTTGATCTCAACTACTCAACCAAACTGATAAGGATCAGATTATAGACAAGATAATGTCTATAATGTGATCCTTATCAGTTTGGTTGAGTAATGGCCCTTTAACCTAAATTATTTTTCGACTTTTGTCATCTCATCTTTCAGCATAACCCATATTCTCCCCATCCTTACTCTGTATATACTGGATAATCATATTCAAGGTACAACTCAAAGTCACAGCCGGCATCATACCTGGATCAACACTAACTTTTACCTGATTATGAAGAAACGGCCTAAATGATCAATAGCTTTTTTCATATTTCAATTATCTCAATTAATTTTTAACATTGCATTAATTTAATTAATTGTATTAATTTAAGTAAATTGATATTTTCATTATCTTAATCGACTTTTAACATTGCAGTAGTTTAATTAATTGTAGTAATTTAAATTTGTTGTTATTTCCATTATCTTAATTAATTTTTAACATTGCAATAATTTAATTATTTGAAGTACTTTCAATTTTTTTGTTATTTCCAATATCTTAATTAATTGTTAACATTGCAGTAATTTAATTAATTGTAGTAAATTAATTTTTTTGTTATTTCCATTATATTAATTAATTTTTAACATGGCATTAATTTAATTAATTGTCATAATTTAAGTAAGTTTTATTGCCATTATCTTAACTAACTTTTAACATAGCAGTAATTTAATTAATTGTAGTAAATTAAATTTGTTGTTATTTCCCTTATTTTAATTATTATTATTATTATTATTAATTTTAATGGCATTTTAACTGCTAAGATCATTTCACGCCGTAACATCCCAAACCTTCTATCTTAGTTTAGCTATGTCCATTCTGAGTGGTATAAAGCTCTGACTCCAAACATTCACACGTAAACTAATTTATCCTATTGCTATCCAAGCTTTAATTTATCCTTTTAAAATTCTTAATTTGGAAGGCCAAATGTATGCAAAAATCCCATTTTAAATTATATACAAAATTTATTTATTTATTTTTTTTTTTNAATGATATTGGCGTAGCTGCGACTGAGTTTACATGTATCTGTTCTGTAATTGATGCTGTGTTTATCTCTGTTGATATAAACCATTTCTAAGAAATTACATTTATGTTTGTTTTGTTCTGTATGTAATATTTTTGGATTTTTGAAGTAGAAATTGTGTTGGTGCTCAACATGGTGGGTAGCGAGTGCTGTCGGATTTTGCTTAGGTTTTTTGCAATGACAGATATGTTGCTTTACTCTCTTGTTGTACAGTTGATCGTGTAGATTTCGTCAGATTTATTTGTTATTGGTTTGGGATCTTTAATTTTGGAAAAAAGTGTTTGGATTGTTTTATAATTTTTGAAAGCTATTTTGAAGTTATCGGACGAGAGAAATGTGTTTAATTTATGTGATAGGCCTTCAATAAATGGCATGGAAATGTAGGCTGGTATGTTTGTAGTTGATAGGCTTAATGTAGTATTATTAGTAATAGTGGATGGTGTTAGGGCTGAGTTGTAGTTGTTGATTATTCTGTTAATAATGTGTTTAGGGTAGATTGTTATGGAGGATCTGTTTGTATATCTTTATGTTCTTGTGGTGAAATGATTCATGGCTTAGGGTAATCATTCTGTGAAGTAACCCTTTGGCCGTGTTTATTATTGTATGAAGAGGATGGTGAGATGTAAAGTTGAGGTAGGAAACCTACATCACACCAGACCGCATCTCACGATTTCTGAATAATTATTGATTAACGGTCACTAATCACCACACATTTCCCATAGGCTTATATGGCTATTAATAATAATAATAATAATAATGGAGTCAGACTAGTAACAGTCTCAGCATGAGTACAGGCTCATCCTTACCCTTTTATTCTTCCATTCAAATATGATAAATAAAATAATTCTACATAACAATAATAAGAAACAAAACACAATAACACTTCTTTTTCTTTATCCATTTTTTTACATTGAATTAATTTAATTAATTGTAGTAATTTAAGTAAGGTGTTATTTCCGTTATCTTAATCGATTTTTAACATTGAAGTAATTTAATGAATTGTAGTAATTTAAATTTGTTGTTATTTCCATAATCTCAATTAATTTTTAACACTGCAGAAATTTAATTAATTTCTATTTTTGTTATTTTTATTATCTTAATTAATTTAACAGATTGCAGTAATTTAATTAATTGTAGTAATTTCAATTTTTGTTATTTTCCTTGTTTTAATTTTAAGATTGCAGTAATTTAATTAATTGTAGTCATTTTAATTTTTTCCTTGTTTTCATTATCTTAGATAATTTTTTAAATTGTAGTAATAATCAATTGTAGTAATTTCAACATCGTTGTACGACCAGTCTCATAATGTGACATAACGAAAACCATCGAGGAGCGGTGTAGCATAAAATAACCTTCTCAGCTGTTACATAAACGTCAGTTTATTAGTCGGTTTTTTCTCATATCTCTAGAATTTTAAAGACTTTACAAGCTGAACGACTGTAAAGATGGAGCTGACCGATTTCTACTACGACAAGGCCGAATATGTCGAAACCGTAAGTTTTCAATGTTATAAAAGTAAATATTCAATTTAAAAAAAAACAACTCATAGTCCGTGTATTTGCCTTTTGTATTGAGTATAAACGTACATTTCTTTATTTTCCATAATAACTTGTTGTTTAACATTATATAGTGATTCTAATCCTTTTACACTGTTTTGATTAAATATTCAGTTCAATTTCATCCTTTCCAGAGTCAACTTATCGAGTGAGTTCATCAGTTTTGTAATAATTAATTAATTTTTTTCTTAAAAGCATGTATACCAGGTAATGTATAACCCGGGATGTTTTGGTATGCAGAATATTTAAGAAAAATACGTGCGCTTGTTCTCTACCATAACGTATCAGCTAATGTAGCCCGTCACTTTGGGCTAGAAAAAACTATTCTAAACAACAAAAAACTAAAATCTACTAACCCACATATTCGACTCAAAATACAATAACTCAACAGATGCTTAAGACTACTGGATAAACGATCAAAACTAATTCTGACAAACAAATGCCTCATTTACATCACCATTCTGAGGCCCATTGGACATACGATGTCAAACTTTTGAGTTCAACAAAAGTTTAAGTATAACCAATCCTTTCAAACCAAAATCTTGCGAACCATCATCACTGCTCCTTTCTATATATATAAACTTAAAAACAGTTTCAAGAAGTTTCAGTTTAAGTCAGTAACCTTTCATCCAGCACCCTTCCAGATAATCCTCCCTGATGATTAAAGCATATCTGGCCTTGTGGCCTCATAAGTGACAACAGGACTGATTAACGCAGGTACGGATTGCCTATTATTGAGTAGTCTCTTCTTTTTTTAATTTACATGTACAAACTTGCAAACTTATATAAAATTTTCTTTCAGCAATTGGCACTGCTAATTAATAAATAATAGTAATGGTATTAAATATATAGTAATACAATTTAAAAAAATAATATAATAAATAAAAAATATTGAAATAGCTCTTGCTACTAAATTACTACATTGTTTTATTTAGCTTTGTAATTTATATTATTCTTGCCATTGCATATGATCTTGATTTATCTATTAATGCTATTATTGACTATTAATTAATCATAGTTATATTCTAGACTTCAGGTAATAAAGTGAGTCGACAAACTGTGCTCTGCGGGTCGCAGAACATTGTTCTCAACGGTAAGTGCATCGTACAAAGTGATGCTATAATCAGGGGTGACCTAGCCAATGTGCGAACAGGACGATTCTGCATTATAAGTCACAATGCTGTTATCAGACCTCCTTTTAAGAAATTCAGTAAAGGGTGAGCAAAAAAAAAAAAGTACAAAATTTCATCCTCGTTACAACTTTGGTACATTTGTTTCAGAGTCGCTTTTTTCCCATTGCACATGGGAGACCATGTTTTTGTCGGCGAAGGGTCTGTCGTGAATGCTGCAGCTGTCGGCTCATACGTTTACATTGGGAAAAATGTCGTAATTGTAAGTCTTTATTGATTCAGAAATTCTTGAATACGTAATTTCCTTTTGTTTTAAAGGGACGAAGGTGTATATTAAAAGACTGTTGCAAGATTGAGGACGACGCCATCGTCCCTCCTGAAACAGTAGTCCCTTCCTTCACAAACTACTCAGGGTCACCAGCTGTCTGGAAGGACACCCTTCCTGACTGTACGCAAGACATAATGATCGACTTCACGAGGAATTACTACCATCACTTTGTTCCCAAACTACTAAATGCTAGGCAAAAGGAATAAATAATTTTAAGCTGGTATTGGGATAATGTTTAATCCAATTTCCTCATTTCTTTCAATCTACATTATTTTGCATTTTCATGAAAAGTTTTTTTTAGTGAATGTGTTGTCTATGAAATTTGGTAAATGTAAATCCCTTGGCCTTTTTTCAGGGAAAAGTGGCGATTCTAATTTTATTATTGAAAATGCAACTTTTTTCTGATTTATAGAATGGAACTGCCGAACAGAACCTTTCCTCACATGGACAATAATAATTTCCAGTGATTTAATGGTACAGTATTAGACCTCTTTCATTGGTACGATCTATACTTAAAAAAAAACAACCTTTTTTCTGACTTGCATACTATTCAATAGGGATAATGTTAGATTCATCTCTCATTAAACTTTATAAGTAGATATTAAGATTATATAATCTGTGATACATATTAGTTAGTGTAATTTTTTTTAAACTTTTCTAGCCATGTATTTATATAGAGTGAAACGTAAGGAGTACAACTTCCAAAGACGATTAAAACGTCAAAACAGTTTCCTTCTGATAATCATTTGTGTAGTGTTAGATAAGAATCAATAAGTCAAACACTTTGTAATGCCTGTTCAAGCTTTATATAATTCTCTATTAATATTAAGCATGCTTAAACATTGTGAACATGTGTACATGAATGTAAATAGTCTAAAAAAGTAACTTATTTTGATATTAATGTATGAAAACTATATTTATTGGTTAAATTTTTAAAAAGATAATGTCAATTGCAATATAATCTTATTGTTTTAGGGTACTGCTAATTTATGGATATAAATTTAAAACAATTTTTTAAATAAATCTTTCAAAAATTGTAAAATTTTGATTTATCTTGCATATTTTTTCTTTAAAATATAACTTTGTGCGTACAAAAGAAGAATATGGTTTTGGGTGTCTAGATCATGTAATCAGTCTAATGATTGTCTATTTTTTTCTTTTATGAAAATATATAAATAGAATCTTATAAAGTATCGCTACATGCTATTTACATTTCCTTTTTTACAGTAATATGATGTATTAATGTAAAATGAATTTTAATAAACATGCGAGCCGAAGGATGTGGGTTTGAGTCCTGCTTGTGTCATTATTTTTCCCCTCCTCAACCTGGACAGACCTTCGCACCAACAGGGGACATGTTTCACTTTTTCTTTTTCTTCATGTCAATATCTGTTCAGACTTGATTCTGCCACCCCGAGACATACATATAACTGCAGTCCAACTGTCATTCTAGACCCAACAGCTTTTCGCTCACCTCTGTTCAGTGGTACATTCCCATTGAATAGAGGACATATTTGTAATTGTCAGATGGATCTATGTTTAGGGGAATACAGAAAAGGGTTCAGGGCTGATAGATATCAAATTTTCCTTGGCTAATTTATCAGCCTCCTATGTCCTGTGTGCCCTGGTACCCAATTAAGGGTAATTAACAATTAATTAAAAATTAGAGTTATTTTTCATTCTTTTCTTTTTCTGCTTTTGAATATGTACATGTGGGAGATTAAACGTATTGGCATTGCTCTAGGCTGGCTAGCCCAGAAGAATAACTATGATGTCATGCCTTTGAGATGTTAGATTCCTCTCCAACCTAAAGGAGCCAAAGGAGTCAGTCAAATACGAGGGTCGAGCTGATAAACATCTTACATTGTTAATTGTGTTGTCCAAATATAGAAATGTCAAGAAACAGTTATTTGTTGGAAGACAGCGAATGCCCTCGTACCTCTACCGGTCATCATTATTCCCTAACATACACATATTTTTGATAATTTATTTCCTACTTCAACTCTGCTGATGGACAACCAAATAACGCTTTTTTTTCTTGGTACTATATTATATTATATATTACTTGGTTCAGTACAGCAGTACTGACATTTAAGGCAAAATGTAGATCTCTAAATGGCCTCCTAACCTATATGTTCAAAGCACGGACATAGACATGTCAATTCTGTCAGGAAAAACTAGAGACACTTTGAACGTGAATCTCAAGCTCAGAAAACTTAAAGTAGTTTCATAATTGTTCAAGTAAAAGTAGCCTTAACCAAATATACTTACAAACGAAGTGGCACTCCTTTCTTGTTTAATACTTTTTATTCCATTTTGTAAGGCAGAGTTCCAAGTTTTCCCGATAGGAGGCATTGCTCCAATTTATTAGTTGAATTTTGATTTTCAAGGGCTTCCTAAATCAATTGATTGTTCCGATCCCAAAGGACTTCGAAGAGTTATTGTACTTCTTTACATAAAATATTGTAATAATATTTTTTAGTTTTTTTTTATTTCTTCTGCCACCTTTTACTTTATATACATGTCCGCGCAAAAGAATCGTTTTCATTCTTTAATCATGTCGCTCCCCTCTTGTTCTAATCCGTTTTTCGTCTCTTTGTTTCCGCCATTTTTTCATTGTCCGTTTTTCTTCCGTTCAGATACCATCGTCAAACTAATTTGCTTCCGATTACACTGTATACTGTAGTGTACTATCCCTTCTCGTTTATTTACTGCCAAATTTTAGATTCCATCCTGTTTACATTGTTTCTCCCCCTGCAACCGATTTTCCTTCTTACAATTCCACATTCCGCTAACCTCAAATCGCCTCCGATTTCACTAATTCCTTCAAGTAGTTTCTTTTAATTTCCTGAGAAGTTTCCTTTCATTTTATATGTGCCCGTAAGAGATTAAAATCGGTAGCAAAGTAGCGCGAGTGCCGCGTCCAGAACCCTTCTGCAGCACACATCGCAACGGGTTCTGACGGAGCCCTCAAGGTAGTACAAGATTGGATAAATTTCCATTTTATCTTTGGCTAAAGAATATGGTGTTATTTTTAGGTTACGAGCATGGCGAGCTACGATGCGGCCACGCTAAAAGTAAGTCCGTTTTTATTTTATTTTATTATTTTTCCTTTGTTTCTATAATAATTATTCTATTGCGAACGACCAGCGCGCATACATAATTCTTTACGGTCCCCTCGGTCCATGATCAGATTCCAAAATAATTGCGTAGTGGGAATAATACCTTCATACTTCAACATGCTTATTTATAACTTCTCAAGTCTAGTACACACTTGTGGCGACTTGAGTTACTGTCTACAGACAAATCGCCGAATTTGTACTGTTGCGGAACAAAATTCGGGCTTAACACGATTGCAGGAATGCGGGAGAAAACGTAGCACGACTGCGATACGTTAATCAGTGCAAATGAAAACATTACAAGCTCAGGTAAATTTTCCACGCTGGATAGATAAGTGGAAAAATTTCATCGCTGGAGATAAATTTTCAAATAACTAAACATGAAAATAGAATAAAGTAATAATTCTCCGTTCAAACAACTGCGTCAAATTGTTCTGTTTCACTCTTGCACTATTTCACATACTTTTCATACATACTCCATCACAACACCATTATCATGGTATGGCTACCAACAGTGCTGTAGAAATTGTATGCAGTCCTGGGTCTCTGTTCTTAAAACATTGCATTAGCCTTTCTTGATTGACTGAATTTTGAAATTCGACTTTGACTGACTATTGAAATCTCGATGGAAAGCATACGGCCCCCGTTTGTCGTTCGAGGAGAGTCGTCCAGAGGTGGGTCCACATATTTCGGTGGAAACGCACATAGGTCTTCAACATACGTTGTCAGGACGTAGTACCTGTAGCCCATTCCTTCTGTTGGGGCGTCGGACATACTACTGGTTAATGCGTTTTATACGGTGTTGTGTGGAAGGTAGCTGAGTCCAAAAATCCCCACAATCTTGCTGCTCATTTCTAACTGGCAGTCACACCCCGGCCCCGCAGTCGTGTAACGGCCACAAATTCAAGATGATGTAGAACCTTTGTCACGCGTCCACACCTACACAGCTCCGTTAAACTAGTTAGAAAACACGAGTGAGTTAGCGGCTCTGTTACTTGTGCAGTTTTAATTTTTGATCAAAAAATAAAAATAAATTGTAAACGTTGGTGGACAAGGAAAGTTAGCAGACTGTCCTACATTTGGATTGAATCTTCTGGAAAAATTAAAATTAGATGGTGGTTCAGGTTTCGGAAATTTCACCCGGCTGGCTATCACGGATTTTGTCTATAGGTATAGTTGCAGCAGAGAATTGTTCCCGATTTATCTGTAGACAATCGCAGAACTTTGTCTGTATTCACGACGACCTACGAGTGTGTCTTCAGTAAATCCTTCAGCTTACATTATCGAGATTGTTTACCTCTTTGTAACCTTTCTCCAAAACAAAACCTGCAAGTTTCGTATCTTCTAAAATGTTGTTTACAATCCCCGGAAACTCAAACGCAATCTTTCTTCACTTAATTAAACTGCATTTAAATAGTTCATAACGGCTTCGAAAGAACAAAAAGCAATCGAACTATTGGATAAGCTAGTCTTAAAACGACCCAACAAATTTGCCGATGTATCAAAAGTATTTGATGATGCAAAACAATTACTGACGTAAAATCACTCATCATCAATCGTTACTAGAGGCGTATTGCGAGTACTATCCAAATCCGAGCCCAATTTAATGAGTTTCAGGACGAAATTATAGAACAACAGTCTCCTGTCTGAAACGAACAGGGTTGAAACCATTGAAACACAGTTCCGCTTCTATGGTAGCCAACATTTGGGCGATTTTATTGAATTTTCGCGTATCAGGTACAACTCATAACCAAATACCATCGTCCCACACAAATTTCACCTTGCCTAAAATCTCCTTGCTCCGATTTAACGGCATGATTACGATTGTCCAGAATTCACCTCACTCTATGCTTCCATAGTACCCAACCATACGTCATTCTCCCGCCCCCAGAAATTTTAATACCTAAAACCTTGAAAGAAGAGGCACCTACCACCATCTCCGTCTTGGGAATCATAAAGGTAATAAGCTTTGGGCTTACCCTCGAAAACTACCTCCTTGCCTACGATGCTCTACAATGGACGCTATCAAAATACTTATATGACTTTATACGCTACAAAAAATAGAATCGCTTCAAATATAGTGAATTTCAAACCCTAAACAGCGTCAAAGGTCAGTATTCTCAGGCGATTCTTAAACATACATCAAACCTCTGTGAAAGCAATTAAGTTGATATTAAAGACTTGAGTGACTTCCTAGTTTTTACTTTTTTTAAAGTTTTAAAGTCCTAGTTTTAAAAAGCATCGATCCCCACACTACTCGGGCTTACGAATCCAGGCAAACGCCCGACGCCATTGCCAGGTACGAAGAATTAATTAATTTTGTCTCTCGATAAGTAAAAGTACCGAGCCTCCTAACAAAGCCTGAAGAAGTTCAGCCAATACACGGCTGAAAGTTCAAAAAATCGACGATAGGCAGACAAAAATGATACAACCAAGGATATGTAGATAACCAAACTGCAAAATTATTCTTCCTGTATTGATTTCTTCAGGGGTGTGTTAGTATATAGCCGTAAAAAAATTATCGGATACGGCTAAGCTTTGTATATCAATCAACCCACGGAATTCTAGAAAGTAATCTCAGAATATACGATATTTCACGATTATATATTTATATCAAAATGAGTTCTGGCCTATCTTTTTATGGTTCTACGTTACTAAGTACCGTCTCAAATTCTGCCAGGGGCAAAAACTAAGGATTGAGCCCGAAGCCCCTCCTAAGCGTCTGTTTGCCAAACAATCCGTTTAGGCCAAAAACCGCGGGGGGGAATCGGGATAATCCATCGACGTGGCCATTTTGAAAGAGTAGGTGCTCTTTGTGACTTTGTTATTGTTGGTTGGTCGGCGGGGGTGGGTAAGCTTTTCGATGACAGGACTAGGTTTTAAAAGGCCCCCTCTATGTACTCGAACAAATCGTTTTGTAAAATCTTACCCGGGCATTAGTTATCTGTGAACACCCTCCTGTGAACTACTCGTCGATATAAAAGTTGCACCGGTTTTGAACGGGATCCGAAGGATTCCTTCATTTTATTTGATCGAGCCTTTGTATTTTATTTTTTTCAATGCGTCTCTCTTTGTCCGTCCGCTTGATCCGAACGATTCTCTAAAAGGGGACAATGCGATTACACGTGGATAATTCGGGAATTACAGGTTAGAAGATTTGAAACACCCTAGTG